TGCAGGGAGGCTAAGACGGATCAAACACACACACACGCACACACACAAAGCTCCAGAGATAAATACTGGAAATGAGCATAGTCACTGAACTGGGGTTTTGTCGGTGCACTGGAATAAACAAGTTCTTTTGTGGTATCGATTGCGTACTTTTTTGCACGACCATATTAGTAAGTTTATTCGTTACGCTAGCGACAGTAAACACTAACAGCATTGAGAACGAGTTAGCGCGAGCGCTGACGCAAGGGCCTTATTCGGCGGACTTTTCGGATTCATACTCGAACCCAGCATCGGAAACGGACAAAGCAGGGTTGCAATACTTATGAGAAATAGTCGTTATACTACAGCATGCCTGCGAAAATTAATTGATCCCCCCATCGAGGATGGCTGTTATTCCTGTATCACTTGCTTGCCGGCCAGCATCCGAGTCGTTATTCACTACAATGTCATAATTCCTGTTGGATGTTGGCGTGATTATTACTTGACCACATCTGGCTCATTGACACTGGCGTTGGAAACAGCACTCGCATGCACGCTCCTCGCATGGCTAATTACTCTACCCAGCCTAAGTCTCAACACCAAATGTTGGAGGAGGAGGCCGCTGCGCCTAGTGCAAGACTAGGCACCAGTGAATCATGACTCAAGCAGCCCTCAGTTAACGCGACTGTCACCCCCAGTGAGAATTTCGGCCTCGTCAAACTTGAAGGTGTGGCGGGGTTTCGTTGAATGATCCGCGACTTAGGAGCTGGCGTAATTTCCTCGCAATACCACCATTATCCGCATCGAAAGCAGTCTTCTGGTTCTTTTGACGTAATTGTTTTGTCCCCTACGACACCAGATTTGACAAAAGACTGCAGTCGCTTCTTGCCGTGGGGAGTGACTCTTTCGATTTTATTATCTGACGTCAGATGGTTTCATCCCGTCTGTGTGCAGGTCCGACTCCAAGTAGTGCGAGATGGCGGCTGACGGCTCCGAGATAGCTGGTCGAAATTTTGGGCCGGTTTGATTGGATCACTCGTCTCTTTCGCGCATACACCTGCTGACGAAGCTGAGCTGGTAATCATTCGCTCTATGCACCTGTCGAATAGATTAAAATCCAGCAGCCTTGTCTTCCGATCCGCTGTAATGCGTCGAAGCACGCTGTTATAGCGTCCTTATGCAACTGCGTTTGTGGCTGATTGGATGTTGGTTGCTGAAGTTACGTACTTGCGTCGTACTTGTCACTTCCATGAAAACTGGTGTTTAGGTCACTGCAATCATTGCGGTAGATGAGGACGTCAAGGAAGACTAACCTGTTGTCTTCTTCCTCCTCCTCCTCCTCCTCCTCCTCCTCCTCTTCCTCATTCTCCTCCTCCTCCTCATCCTCCCCTCCCCCCTCCTCCTCCTCCTCCACCACCATTGTAAATTATATATCCATGTAGACGACGTTGAGACTTGCTTCGAATACCGGCACCTGATCCCGCCTGATGACGACGAAGGTAGTATTCGCATAGCAAGCCCAGAATTTTGATCTGTGGTGTCGAAAAACCAGTGACTTCTACTGTTGTAGGACCGACTGGGCCATGAGTCCTGGCATCGGCGAAACCACTGACTTATCCATCATCTGCTCGCAAATTATTTCGTCGCATGACCTTCCCAGTACTCATATTTACGTTTGTGCAGCCAGAATTTGTTGGCAATGAGACAATGTTAAATTCGAAGAAGGCTTCCAGTCCATCCAAACGTAGGGGAAAAATACCTTAGACATTCGAAAATGAGAAAGTAGGTGCGCACTGTTCGACTTACTTGGCATGCCTTCCAGGCGGGGAACTTTGTCTAAACAAGCTCGAATTTTGACCCACCAAAGGAACCTAAAATTGGAAAATAAGCCAAAATGTTATTTTGGGAAACTCTGACCGGCATGTCCAGTTCAACGTGGAGGAAATTTCCAATTGCACGTTACAAGACTGCGCAACTTTCAACAAGTACAAAGACATCATTTGTTGAAAAGATTCTTTTGCTAATTTTGCAGCTGAGTTCGTCATTGTGCATGCAGCTATGCAAAGAGTAGGTCATAATCGAATGTCATAGTATGCAATTAGTTGCGGAATCCAAGACACTGCAGGTGCATTTCTAGAATTCAGTGGAGAGAACTGAGCACTTGTGTCCACTGCAAGGCCAGGAAAATGCGTGAATCAGTGTCTGATTTCTATAGCTCCTTTTTCGAGGGGTATCAGGAAGGAAAATTCAGAAATAATTTTTTTCTGTAAACTGAGGAGAATGTTTGCAGAGATGGAATCTATTTAACTGGTAATTAGGAATGTTGATAGCAGAAGACCTCGGTTAGGTGGTTACACCAGGCGTGCAATGGTTGCCTGTACCCGGTGCATGGTCGATGTAAATGATTTACGGTGTGCGTGACAACTCCTAACGTGCATGTGCGAATTACAAATCGCACTACCTTTAATCCAGAAAATTATGAAAACTGCGGATGAAATTATCGATTCGCGGACTTAGTCAGGTGGATTTTGTCAGGTCCCAATACTTTTGTCAGCTTCGGGAGACATTGGATTGCGATTACCAGTGTCTATTACACAATACTTCGATAACTTTAAAAAGCGTGAGTACTCGTTTGTAGGAATTTTCTCGGATGTAAACTCGTTATCTGCTTTTATTCTGAGATGGTTCCTCTCAAATTCCTTCTATGGTGGCTTGAATTTGCATTCTCTGAGGTCTTATCCAAAAACAGATCGGCACAACCAAGATCACAGCAGAACGCGAGAATTTCAGGGAGGATCTACATAATTTGATTACGGCGATGAAGGAATTCAAATTGGCTACATTCTATGCATTGATGTTTCTCCACACGGAGGCATGAATATACGAGAAGCTCAAAAAGCCCTGCAAAATATCGCCTCATAATTGGTAGAAAGCTTTAATTTGCTTAAAATGGAGAATGAGTCGTTAGCCGATTCTGCTGTGAACTGTAAACACCTATGTTTGGAGACGGACGAAAGTAGATATTTTATCAGTTTCACGAACAATCTGATTCCTAAGGCGCAATTTGCTAAGCAAGGGTTCATATTAATTTGGAGTCGACATTACACTTTGAGTGAGGAAACAAACGCGTCTTCGCTGCCTTTCAGAGCTTTGTATATTTGTAAAAATAAGTTTCGCTTCCGAATGACTGCACATTTTGGATGACGAAGTCTAGGCCTGCCTTTCGACACCCAAGTCACATTGTCAGGTTCGTCGCTCGCGTAAGCCAGGGGGAAATGTGCATGTTTAAATTATATTTTCTTATTAAAATTGTCCGACTCAAAAAACGGAAATAGGTAATCTTCAAATGTATGTGCGCGTTGCCAGGTTTTCCATTCGCTAACTCTTATCTTTTGTGGAAGATTTTGTGTGGAAAAGGTCAGCGACATATATCATTAAGTAAGCAGGCTGTCTTTCTCATGTTGATTTTTAAAGTTATCTTGAGTTCATTATATGTGAAGAAATACTGAGAATCATAATATTTTGAGTATTTATCTTGTCCCAATTCACTTTGTCGCATTTTTAAAACGGCTTCGACTTAGCAATTTCTGATATGCTTGCATGATTATTCGCGCAGTCAGGAAACTGTAAACATATTCAAATTATAATCCGATCTATATTGATTTATTGTTTTGAGAACATGAGGAAGCTCTTCCATAAAATATGCAATGTCCTTTCGAAGGGAAGTTATAACGCAGTTTATAAAAAGCAACACTTATCGAAAGCCTGTTTTTACACAACAGGCAAAAATTCTTAAAATTTTGAAAAAACGGCATACTTTGAGTCGTGCAAAAGCGCCAAGGAAAGGAACTTTCAAGGATACCGGATTACATCGGGCGGTCAAACTCTAAATCGTTCACAGTACTTTTAATCAGTATGATTTAGAATTCATTACATTAGCATTTTCTAATTTGCAGAATACATTATGCGGCCACCCTTTTGTAGTGTCTTGTTGGGAGATAGAAGAAATTTTTACCTTACAAACACAAGAGAGATTTTAAGCCCCGTCACAGTATAAATTTTAATTAGGGCAGAATCGATTTTACTGAACGGAAGCATAGTTTTGGAAATGTGACGTCTACAGAAAGGTACAGTTTAGCTAATATAAAAGTATTCCTTCACTTCTGGTTGTTTTCGCGCAAAACTACGATGTTTTAGGCGTATAAAGACTTTATAAGAAGTGATATCGTGTTAAGGGGAGCGATAGTTGATAAAGGTTAACAGTAGTGATGGTTTTGGCAACAGCAAAGTGATAATGTGCTGACCTCTCCCGCTTCTTTTTCATTGACTTTAATAATAAAAATTGATGTCGGAAATAAACAACCCCAGTCAACCATCTGCTTGGAATCTTTAACGCATTCATTTTGCTTTTTTTCGATTTTTGGCATTGCATTCAGATGCTATCCAGTTTAAAAAGTCTTCGTACATAAATATAGCTGTTTTTCGCATACAGACGTTTTCATACGCCTAACTCTCCAAATACTTTTCTTTGCCATTAAGAAAACAGTCGAAAAGCGCTTATCCTGAAATAAAGGCAAACTATTCAAATAAATTTCATAATTTTCCTCCGCAGATCCGTCCATTTTTAGGGATAGGCAAAATCGCAGACAATACTCTAAAACGGACGCGTCTGTCTGTAAAACAGACATTTTAATTAAATCCATATGTGAATCAACAGCTAGATCTTTCGATCCTCGTTTTCAGGCATGCGTTTTGCGTGGCAGAATGCAGGCCTGCTTCCTTTCCAACTTGATTGTCTAACTGGATGCAAGAGCCCTGTAAGACCGATTTCGTGTTAGTCTTTTCTCCTATCTCTTACTTCACACCAAACATATGCGCCCGGGCGGGTCCCCATTCGTTCAAAACGTCTGAATCTGGTAGATACGGGCAGTCTCTTGGACATAAAATGTCGCCAGATGGTCAGCTTGCCAATGAACCACGGAAAATCCCTGTGACATCGCCTGGCCTCAACGTGGAAAGAACAACTGCGCAAAGTCACTGGGCTCCGTGCGCATAAGATGAATTATTAGAAAATGGAAAACAATCTCCTTAAAATTGTCTTCCCGTCGCATCACGAGCTCCTCCCGATGCGGTTTTACTGAAGTTCTACTCCCACTAGATTACTGTCAGTTGTGTATTTATTCACACGGTTCCAAATTTCATATGACCCTCTGATGGTAAGAGTGCGACTAATTTAAAAAGCGTGCACTCCAAAGTCGGTATTTAGGAAAAGGCACAAAAATCACAACTTTATTCATGCAGTAAGTAAATAAGAACTGGCTCACCGGTTCTGGGCTTAATGATCGCCTGCCTCCGTTCACAGAAATTGGATTTAACGCAGTCATTTATGGCTTAACATATTGTAAGATCTGCAATACTGAGGGCACAGGTTCTGGCTTTCGGTTGAGAGTTTATGAAGATCACGCAATTAGTCCGCTGAAAATGATGGAATTCGGCCAAAATATCCATGTCAACTTTATAAATAAACCTCTAAAACTACATTCCTAGTGACCCACCCCAAAGTAGCACATTAATTCTTGACGAAATTAAAAGCATTACTTACTCACTTCTGATCTGAATAGTTGCGTACTATACAGTATCAAAAGTTATCTTGACTTTTTATCTGGGATCGGCCAAACCCCCGAAAATTTTGGAGTCGCATACAGTGTTTTATATTCTTCAGCAAATCTGCATCATTTACATTTTTCGAACGTCAAAGATCTCGTTTATCTCCAATTTCATAATTATTCAGAAGAAGAAGAATGGAAAGAGGTCTACATGTCTATACAACGAGAGCTAACTTTAACAAAGTCCGTAGGAACGTTACGAAATTTAGTCTCTTATAGCGATTTTCGCATTATTGCAAAATAAAATGAGAGCGATTTCTGACATTTCCTAACTCGAGATTCTTGTTGATATAGGTCAGCATCTGATGCGGCGTAACAGAAACAGAGGGAGGGAGGAGTACTCTTTATTTCGAAAATTTCATTCCAAAATTTTCAGCGTGACCTTTACCACTTCCTTTGCGAGAATACGAATTAATATATGGTGATAGCGTAAAAGGATTTACGTTAAACCTGTACAAATATTGTGGGGACATTTTCAGTTTCAACTTTTATATCTCCGTCTCCCTACACCTTAGGTATCACGCCTGAGATAGTAATGCGGAACGTTGGTAATCCAATGCATGGCGAGAGATATGCCGGAAGCCACAGAGCACTGAACGGAAATGCTTCGCAGCCATTAATTCAAGGTCAAGGAAACGGACAAAATAATTTGGAATTTGATCAACAAAATGCTTGGCTGTTGTGAAATGTCGTTGTGTTATGATAGTAGCTAAAATACATAGTAAACACCAATAGCAGAAGAGGGCAATTTGAC